TACTAGTTTCCGATATTGAAAAACGAAACCATTTTGACTTACTTTTACTTAGCAACACTTCACGACAACATTATTGCTTTATATCCAATTTTTCAAGACTTATTAGGTCTCAAAGAACTAAACACAAAGAACAAATAAATATCTGCAAACGATGTTTTACTATTTTTAACAACACACCTTGTAAGAATAAATTATGGGGGTTTGAAGGACTACGAGAACATAAAAAATTCTGTTCTCAACATAAATTAAGCAGACCAGTTATGCTTGAAGATCATGATGATTCTGTAATCAAATTTACAAATTATATAGCTACTCAACGCGTACCAATAGTGATCTATGCAGATTTTGAATGTTTTTTAAAACCTCTTATGGAACAGTCAAATGAAAAACAGAAATCTATTAAAACTTTTCAACACAAACCGATGAGTTTTGGCTTTTATGTTAAAATTGATTACACAACCATTCCACCTGAATTAGTTAATGAATTTAAAATACCTAAAAAACCAGTTATTTACAGAGGTGAAAATGCTGCCAAAAAATTTATAGAAGCTCTTATAAAAGTCGGAGAAGAAGTAGATAAATTATATCAGACAAACATAGCAATGAATCCTTTAACTAGTGAAGAAACAAATCGATTTCAAAACGCTAGCAATTGTGAAATATGTAAGCGATCTTTTATCAATACCATAAAAGTTAGAGATCACTGTCATTTTACGGGTAAATTTAGAAATGTATTAATGTTTGACCTGTAATTTCAAGTTGAAAAATGTAACTTTCATTCCAATTTATTTTCATAACTTAGCGTACGATAGTCATTTCATAGTACATCAATTAGGAATAAATAACAAACGAATTGATGTTATTCCTAATTCGAGTGAAAAATATATTTCATTTAGCAAAGAAATTTCCAAAACTATGAAAATAAAATTCATAGATACGTTTAGATTTATGTCAGAGCCTTTAAGTACGCTTGCTAATAATTTAGCCGAAGACAAATCTAGGTTTAAAGAGACATTACGATTTTTTTCAATAGATAAATTAGATTTAGTATGTCGTAAAGGTTGTTTCCCCTACGAATACGTGAATAACTGGGATAAACTTGAACAGACTTATTTACCATCCAAAAAACACTTTTACAACTCACTAAATGATGAAGAAATCAGTAACCAAGATTATAACCATGCGAAAACTGTTTGGAATACATTTAGAATAAAAACTTTAGGTGAATATTCTGATCACTATCTGTTGACTGATATTTTAATATTAGCCGATGTTTTCGAGTCATTTCGAAATCTTTGTATGAACACATTTCATCTTGATGCATCACATTATTTTACAGCTCCAGGATTCGCATTCCAAGCAATGTTGAAATTTACTAATGTTGAACTTGAAAGGCTAAAAGATTATGATATGCATCTCATGCTTGAAACCGGTATTCGCGGAGGTATCTGTAACAGTGTTAAACGACACGTAAAAGCTAATATCCCTAATGTCGAGGGAATTAATTACAATCCTGATAAACCCACGTCTTGGCCTACATATTTTGACTATGTAAACCTCTATGGGAAAGCTATGCTATCGGTTTTACCTTTTCGTAATTTCGAATGGTTAGAAGATTTATCATTAGATATTACAACAATACCAAACAATTCAAAGTATGGTTATATATTAGAAGTTGATGTTGATTACCCTGAGCATTTACACAATAATCATAACGATTTCCCATTTTTATCCGAATTTACATTCCCACCTAATTCAAAGGTGAAAAAATTGATGACTACTTTTAATCCTAAACGAAATTATGTTGTACATTATCGTTCACTGAAGCAAGCTATCGCAAACGGATTAGTTGTGACAAAAGTACATAGAATTGTTAAATTCGAGCAAAAGAAATGGATGGCACCCTACGTGAAACTTTGTACTGAAATGAGACGAAACGCAACAAATGAGTTTGAAAAAGCGTTTTGGAAACTCGCTATCAATTCTGTTTTTGGAAAATGTATGGAAAACGTGAGAAAACGTATGAATATGAAATTGGTGACAACTGATCGACAGGCACATCGTTTAATGATAAAACCTAGTTTTAAAGATCGTACAATTTATTCTAATAATCTAATGGCTATACACATGTTCAAGGAGAAACTTAAATTTGATAAACCCATATATGTAGGATTAGCTATTCTAGATATTTCCAAAACTGTTATGTATAATTTTCACTATAATGTAATGAAGCCTAAGTATGGTCGCAACATTAGATTATGCTACTCCGATACAGATTCCTTAATCTATGAAATTATTACAGACGATTTTATGACTGATCTCACAAATGATTTGTCACCATATTTCGATACATCAAATTTTCCCAAAGATCATCCATGTTTTTCAGAAAGGAGGAAGAATGTACCAGGTTACTTTAAAGATGAATTAAAAAGTTTGATTTTACTTGAATTTGTAACCTTGCGACCGAAACTGTATGCTTTTAATGTTGGAGGAAAGGAAACAAAGAAAGCAAAAGGAGTAAAAAAGTATGTGATTGAAAAAAATATGAAAATGGAACATTATATCAGCGTTTTAAAAGCATATTCTAGTCAAAACACTTTTAGTCAGAACAATACAATAACATATCAATCTATGAACACAATTCAATCAGAAAAACATCAAGTATATTCAAAAAAAATTTACAAACTCGCACTTAGTGCAAGCGATGACAAGCGAATAATATTGGAAAATGGGATAGATACAATAGCACATGGCCACTACAAATATTTATGAACATTATAAAATTTAAATATGTAAATAATTTTATATGTTAAAAAAATTATTTAAATAATTCTGTTATTTAGATGGCGCGATTCAACCGTTTCTTGGAAATTTTTCGAACATTCCGTTCACTCAATGTAACTGCAGCAATGCCTGGAGAATTAGCTCTTATTTTTATCTTTGAGACAGACGATGATTTTTATCAAACAATTGATGACGTTTCAGAAACAGATATCATACTATTTTATCATAATAGAGAGCTTGATGATGAAAAACTAAAAGAGATATTTCCATCGTTTGTACCAACGATAGATAATGGTGCCAAGTATGTAAATCCCATCGGTCATATACTTGATGGCAATGCACGTATTGTGCTACGCAAGTGGAGGAATGAACATGCAGGTGGTACATACTATGTTAGGAGAAGACCGGATTACGTAGTCATAAATGATATTTTGAAAATATTTCTACATCCATCCATTGAGCAATTCGATATGAATGCTGCAGTAACCATAAACGATAACGGTGAAGTTTTGTCTTTATTGGCATCAAATCCTACATTTAAACGTACTGTATGTGGTGGTCATAAAAAACTAAATATGTACCACTTTGAACGGATAGAGTCTACCATTTTTTCTAGACCGGTATTGGGTATTGTCAATTGCATCCATCATTCAACCACCAATAGAGATGAACGGGTACAAATGAAGTGTAGACTGGATAAAATCTTCCTCGCTGGCTCTGAAAGATCAGCATATAAACTACAAGATCATAACTGGTTTAACATTTTATATTAGTCAACTAGACACATAAATCTTTAATTTTTAAATATATTACTAAGTTACTATTTTTAATAGTTTAATATAAAGAAATTGTATTTTTTTTTTTTTTTAAATAAAAATTATTTTACAATATTTTCTGTTTTCACCCATGAGTTATGAGATGAATCTAGTCCTAAATACTTTACATACATTTTTCCTTTTGATCTTTTCAAGACAAGTTCTATAAGATATGTATCAGGGTAATTAGTCTTTTTAATTTCTTGCTCATAAAAACATCCTAAAATTAGCTCACCTTTCTCATCAGACAATTTGTAGGTTATAGGATTAGTATCTAAAATGTTGCTAATAGTAAAAATTTCTGTAGTCCAACTTGGCGTGTAAGATTTATTAAAAATGTGTTTATATTTTGATATTCTAACCTTTTCATTTAACTTAAATTTTGGTTTTTTCTCTAAACTTTTGCTAGAATAACTTTTATGTGTAACAGAATGAGGAGTTAATCTGGCTTCTTGTGGAGTACAACTAATTGTTCTGTGTCTACTATTATTATATCTGTTTACTAGTTTTGGTAATGCTTTTATCCAGTCCCAACGGCCTTGAGCTGTAAAATTTGTATAAATATAATTTTTTAAAGTTCTAATCACTCGTTCTACCATCCCCGCCTTGATACTACTATAAGTTGAATAATGTTTAATGTTATATTTTTTCATAATATTTTGAAATTTCTCATTATGAAATTCTAATCCAAAATCCGATTGAACAAATTTAGGCTGATGAGTTTTTAATATTTTCATCATCGCATCTTTTATAGTAATTGCTGATTTATTTTTTAAAGGTTCTAACCATACGTATTTAGTAAACGTATCAATAACAACTAAAATATATTTGAAACCACTATTTTTCCTCGAATGCGCCGAGTAGTTGGGTGAGGATCATCCTCTCTTATCAGTGATCCTCGAGGATGATCCTCCTTTATCAAAAAAAATTGTTATCAATTTTGTTATCAGGGATAAGAAAAAATTTGGCGGTAAAAATGTGGGTATCCATGTGGTATAACGGATTGTTATCAGTGATAAGAAAAAAATGTTGGTATCCAAGTGGTATAACGGATTGTTATCAGTGATAAGAAAAAAATTGGCGGTAAAAAATGATGTGGTATAACAGATTGTTATTAGTGATAAGAAAAAAATGTTGGTATCCATGTGGTGTGATAGATTTAGCTATAATGTGTTGTTAATAATACAACGGTCGTTTTGATGGCGTACTAGGCCCAGTTGACCAAAGTGAGCTGAGTCAAATATTACAGCTAAACTTTGGACAACTAAGTTTAGACAAACCATGATGCGTCCAATGATTATAATGCATAGACTGAGGGTGTACACAGCAGATGGTTGCAACAGCGCGCGCGCGGTTTATAAAACGATATGATTGGACAACGGTAAACGGATGATGCCTGTGTGGAAATGCGTATAAATACTGTAAAGAATACGGTACAAACAGTGACCAGTTCAGCGCACATAAGAAAACTTCCAGTGGTGGTGGTGGTTGTGATGAATAAAGCAAACTACAACAACAACAACGCAGAGGTGAGTGATAAAATAATAATAATAACTCGAATGTCGGTTGCATTATTATAGTTAAAACTTTTTCGACAGATGAATGTAATTACAAGCAACCTGCTCAATCAAAAAAGCGACGATTGGCTCAAGACGCATCGGCAGCATATATCAGAATTGCAGATTAACGTACCGTACAAAGTGTTGGGTTTCAAATCGGTGAAAACGAAATTTAGCAGTTTCACGCCGGTGGTCGTAGTGCAAATGGGCTTTGAAAAACCGTTGGAAGTGTATTTGCCACCGAGGTATGAAATGAGCGAAGACGAGATAAGAAGAGGCGTCGATCCGAATTTGAAACTACGATACCGTGGGAAAATGCCAGGGACTAACGTACATGATATTGTATTTGAATAAAAAAAAAAAATGTAATTTACAATCGTTGAATAAAAAATTGTGTGTGTACATCTTTACAAAACATTGTATTTTTGTTTTAAACCACCGAGTACTAGGTAAAAAATAATAATAATAATTTAACGATGCGATAGAACGTCCTATTCGGACCGGTGAGCGTGTATAACTGTAGGGGTCATCATCGTACGACATGTGTACAGACGTCGTCGGTTGATGCGTATGCAAAAAAAAAAACCAGGTGTCAGCAGTCCTATACGGACCGGTGAGCGTGTATAACTGTAGGGTCATCATCGGACGACATGTGTACAGCCGTCGTCGGGTGATGTGTATGAAAAAAAAAAACTAGGTGCCTGCGGGGTAAACATTGTACGACGACGATGCGAACACATACGTCTGATGGTTGTAATAGTAAATAAAAAAAACCGGTGCAGGTGGCCTGTAGACACACACAAACGCACGCTGAATGGTAAAAAAAAAGTATAATAACTCGACGTCTTAGTCTGATATTAGTCAACTAGAATATTGCATAATCCACTGACGCGTCGAAGACACAGTGTATCGGTGAATAAAATATGGAGAATATTAACTGGTTATTACAAGGTAAAGTATGAATAAAAGTCCGTAATTGTTTATGTTTTTTTTTTTATCTAACAATGATGTGTTAGTATACAACAATTTAGAAAACGGGGTTCAAATCGAAACCGTTAGCCCCGATGGACATGTATATCATATTCATGGTACTGGAGCTCAGCCAGTTATTATACTATTTAGGTAACGTCCGAAATTAATATTAATAAAAAAAGCGATTTTAATTTTATGAAACAATAATTTAAGAATGCGAAGGCGCCGCCGCCAATCGAACAATGAAGGATCGACGAACAATGATAGCAGCTGCGGCGGCAGCAGTAGCAGCAAGGCCAAGCAATAAGGTTACCGATGTAAAATTAAAAAATGTAATATTGGTTGCACAATAAATTATAAAATAAAATATCCGAGTTATTTGTTAACTTATCCTAAGCGTAGAATAATTAAAAAAATTACTAAAAGATAAAACAACGCCCGGTGTCCGTCAGGCACCTGCGATTGCATAAGGCAGATGAAATTGATGGTGCATCGAGTATTGCGGTTCAGGCAAACTGCGTGGATGGCTGAATTTATTCAATTCAACACGAGACTTCGGGCAAGCGCGCGCACAAAGTTTGAAATTGAACTAATTAAGTTTTTAACTAATTCAATATTCGGTAAAACCTTGGAAAACCCCGAGAAAAGAATAAATGTTAGACTCGTTAGCGATTGGGAAAATTTAAGGCAAAAACAGGGGGCCAGTGTCTTGATCGCAAAACCTACTTACGACAGCTGCACAATTTTTAACGACAACTTGGTCGCAATACAAATGCGGCGAACTGAAATTTGTTATGATCGGCCTTGTTATGTAGGTTTTGTGTGTTTAGAATTGGCCAAACTAATTCTCTACGATTTTCATTATAAATTTATTAAACAAAAGTACGGCGATAAAGCTGTGCTTTTGTACACAGATACTGACTCCCTGTATTACTCAATTGAAACGCCGGACGTGTACAAAGACATTCGGGATAATATAAATTTATTTGACAGCAGCAATTATCCACCCCAAAATAAATACAATATTCCGCTGGTGAACAAAAAGTGTTTGTACAAAATAAAAGACAAATTAGGCGGCACGTTGTTTTTACTTTTTATCGGCATTCGAAGTAAGTCGTATTATATTCGGGCTGACGGGGTGGGGGGTGAAAAAAAAATTCTGAAAGGCATTCAAAAGGCTGTCGTTCAGAAAACTATTGCCGAACACGATTATTTAAATTGCATATCACTCGAGAGTGTTCGGACTATGCGTAAAATGTGCTTGTTCAAATCGAAAAAGCACAAAATATACACGCAGATTGTATCGAAAGTAGCCATGACTCACGACGATGATAAGCGGTTCCAATTACCTGATAGTCATTACACTCTTCCGTGGGTCATTATTCTATTGTCGATGACGATGTCGAACTTATGGATGTCCAAACGGTTTAAAATCGCTAACGAGAAAAACATTTATTCTATAAACAACGGAACACGGAACGGTTTCGCGCGCGCGCACAGTACTGACGATCACACAGAAAAATAAATCTGGTCTGGTCACGCGACGCTCGCATCGGTGGTAGGTTCGTTCCTATAATAATAGTCTGGGTTGCCGCCGCCGCATCCGTGAAATAACACACACAGACTGGTTTTCAACCGACACACCCTCCGATTTGTATTACCTGTTTTGTTGTTGTCGGTAAATGTAGTCGTAAGATTTTGTGTATATAATTTGTACATTGTATACGGGCATGCCCGTAGAAAAAAAATAAAGTGAAATTTTTATTATGTGAAAAAATATTTTATATACTATACTATGTTGTTGTTGTTAAAAGGACAGGTGAATCTCACATGTAAAAAAAAAAAACGACTGGTTTTCGGTCGACACACACGATATTTATTTTATTATTCGTATAACGTTGTACAGACAATTTATATATTATACAGTATGCCCTTGTACCGTAGAAAAAATTAACTGAAATAGTTATACATATATATATACGTGTGTGTTGAGAAATAAAAAAATATTTTATGTGCTATAAATGTTGGTTGATATTATTATTATTAAATACACGAGATTACATAATTTGTGTGAAAAAAACTTAAAATAATTGTGGATTATCTAAAATCCATTGCCTCAGTGTCCAGACGAGGGCGCTGGTACAAATGGCAATACGCTTAATTTTGTGAAACGCACACTGATTGCATTGTCCATTTTGGGTTGACGCGGCGTTGACAAGTACATCACGTTTAGGACAACCCAATTGTTCTAAATCAATTATCTCGGTTGAAATGTATTTCGACAACAACCGTTTTTTCTGTCGTCCTTTGACAAACACCTAATCGTATCCGGCACAACACGATGTTAGTATAGATTGTAAGTCACTGTACGGTATGTATCCGTCAGAATAACGCAAACCGTGGAACTTAGTTTTCAACCAACGATTAACGCGATGACTTTTCGGAGTAAGCATGAAATTATCGGGCGGCAAGAAAATCCAATGTTTTACATCCGAAAATCCACGCACCGGCAATGCACTTAACTCTTTTATGATCAATTCGCAAGACTGATCCAAGCAGCATTGTGCGTCGAGTACCAAAGCTGACATTTTTACGACTGACTTGCAAAAGTTAAACAACGTCTTTCTCATTTATCCATGCGTTATGACTGTCGGTCAAACCGAGAAACTTAACGAAACACCTGTCACCGTTTCGACGCAGTATTTTTTCGACTAAATACGTGCCAGGGTAGTGCGTGCGTTGTAATTCTTCAGCAAAATAACTGCCTCTTATAGGCGTACCGTTTCTATCTTTTAATTTATACGTTACGGGCAATGTATTAGCTACATGCTCTACAGTAAAAAGTTCTGATGACCAAGAAACTTTATAAGATTTCCGGAAAATCATCGCATGCAAAGATATACGTACAACGTCGCCTACGGCGAATAATGCCGGTTTAGATTTTGGCTTAACTTGTCGAAAAAATTTGACTCTATGCGACGGCGAGCTTTGAGCTTCAGAGGGGGTCATGCGGATAGCCGAATGTTTGCGAGTATTATACAGCAAGACGATATCTTGTAGTATCGGTAGCCACACGGATGACCCGGCAGCGGTAAAATGTTGCCATAACATTCGTTTAATAGTCCGAATGAACCGTTCTACCGGCGACGCTTTGACGGGCGTGAAAGTCGAATACTGTTTGATATTATATTTTTTATACACTGCTCGGATATGTTTAGAATAAAATTCAGTGCCTCTATCACTAAAGAAAAGCTTACACGCTTCACCGTTTCGCTTTATAATCGCCTCAAGTGCGGCCGCCACAACCGGCCCGCTTTTATTTTTAATTGGTTCGCAAAACGCGAATTTAGTATACACGTCTACAATCGCTAAAATAAACGTGTAGTTTTTATTACCTCGTTTCTTGGACAGTGACCGGAGGTCGATGAGGTCAGCTGACCACAAATCAGACTTAAAATATGCAAAAATCGGGCGTCTTGGAAACACCCTGCGGGCTGGCTTATGTAATTCTGCTGCAATGCCAGCCCTGATCGAACCGGATGACATTGCTTTAATAAATAACACGGGCTTCACGTAATTGTTCGACACACGATAGTATTTCGGGGTAAACACTAGTGTTACCTGCGTTGAGAGAGCCGTGCAACAATGCTAATCGCTCAACGACTTCATTGATATCGTCATAATATACAAATTCTTTCAAACGATTTGAAACCGGTTTGAACGTAAGACCCCGGCCGACGACCGGGTCTTCAACAAGGTCCAGCTGGTTATCGGTAGGGTGCTCACTGTTTTCAACGTCTAGCGGGTCCACCTGCTGCTCGTCGGGGGGGTCACTGACCCCCTTTTCTGAGCGTCCGAGCGGACTGAGAGGGTCACTGACTTGCTTTTTTCCCGCGCGTTTGTCCGGGCTGACCGCTTCCTTTAAGAACGTATCTAGATTTTGTCCGCTTTTGGAAAATAACGGGCGAATAATATGTTTGTACTTGAACCCCGCGTTAGATTTCAATTTACCGTTGGCTTTCACGTGAGCCCGCGTATGTATTAAAAAGTTTCTATATTCTGATAAATCCTGAGTTGTTACAACGTCCATACGGGGGGTTGAACTAAAGACCAATTCTTGTAGACCTTTAGTAAATTTAGTAACGGGTAAACTGCCGACTTTAATATCATGTCCGTCGAGTTGAACTGTCTTATCACCCATCACCCAAGATCCGTCTTTCTGATATTTTACGCCATAAGACGGGCTGGATTCAGTGTAAAATTGGACGTCTGTCTCACTCACGATCGACTCGGAGTCGGTCAATGCACTCTGGTCTACTTGATCGTCGGGATGAGGTGGAGGGGGAGACGGTGTAGATACGACGTCGGTTGGTTTATTTAAT